AATCACGTACACCTTAACGAAGTAAGTCCTAAAAAACTAACTACCTACTACTACAAACCTTAAAAAAAATCTAACTGAAATTTAAATTCAAAAAAGTAGATTTATCCTAAAACTAAGTAACTTATTATGCTAAAAAAGTTACTGCAGTAACTGAAAGCAACAAAATTTCAACAAGATGATTCCATGCAGGTTGTAGAGCTTGATTTTCTCTACCCAAGTGAAGGAATACATCGACGATGGGAAAGTGGTTATCGAATAACTTCTATGGCTGCTACTGCTGATCAAGCAGCCTTCATATTGAGCGTACCAAGACGTAAAATGATTGATGAGACTCAAGAGACCTTGCGGACATCTGCCTTCCCAAGCACCCATGTAAAGGTGATCAGTCTCTCTCATAATCAGATGTTTCCTTTGCATGCTGCGTTTTCCTTAACTGGAGGAATAAACAGTAGTTATTCTCCCCCTGTTCTTCCAAATCTTCACAAAGGGATAACATGATCCAGACTGTCTTATTGGCTTGTTTTACTTTTTCTCTCATAATCAGATGTTTCCTTTGCTTGCATTCATTTCTCAGGAAAAATGGTCCAAGAATCTTTACATTGCATCCATCTGTTATGGTCGAACTGTCTCTTGAGGATGTTGGTCGCCGTGATCTCAATGTTTCTAGAAGAGATATGGAGGATGAATTCATCTGGTCAAAGCTGGATTAGCCAGTCCTCATTTTTTGTCTGTAAACTATGTTTTGTACGACAGCATACTGGAAAATAGGAGAAACAAACACCACTTAAGAACTTGCAGAATCAAGGCCTGAAAGCAGGCTGGAGCACCAATTGGGTGGCTGACCAAAATTTACTAGTTTTGGCAGTTAAGGCTTCCAACATTTGCATTTTTTGTACCTCAAATTAAAAGGGTCCATTTATTCCATAATATTATTGATTCTTGCTGCCATGTGGTTGCATCTACCCTAAATGTTTCTACTAGGGCGCTGCTGCTGGATGGCTGAGTGATATATAGTTCTTGCGTAACTGGATGTTTTTCTAGGTCTACTACAATGGCGAGTTTGAGTATGTACTATTTTGACGAGAACCAAATTGCGCGACTTCTGCGACACTAGCACATCCAGATATCAATAGTTCACGATGCAAGTCAAGAAACCATAAAATTGCAGGCTGTGTTTTAAAGCATAAGCAGGGGACTTCGGCTGTAATCCAATGGTCTCGAGTCGAAACCAAATTAGCGTATAACAACAGTTATGTCAGTTCCAAACTAGTTGGCTTCATGTTTTATAATACTTTAACATTGAAATCATGTATGGCACAAAACATCTGACGTTGTGGCGTAAAAATAGCACGGTCTAGCCAGTTTTCGGACTGGTCATTCAAAAATAGCCAACGTTTTACCAAGTCAATGAAAAATAGCCATTATTTTGCTGCAACAGAGACCGGTCTAGCATAATATAATTGGAGTTCGGTGCACCTGTGTATGAACTTCCTGCATAATATGCTGGAATTCCAACACACGGAAAGTTCCAGCATAATATACTGGAGATTCGAGCACTTGTGTATGAACTTCCAGCATATTATACTGAACCGGTATACTTTGCTGGAGTTCTAGTGTACTTATGCTGGAACTCCATCATATTATGCTGGAGTTCCAACATACTTATCCTGGAACTCCAGTATAATATGCTGGAGTTCAAGTATACTTATGCTGGAACTCCAGCATAATATACTGGCGTATTTTTCGGGTTTTGAACATTGTTTTCGCTCAGATTTATCTTTACATGAAAAGTGGCTAAATTTCGATTACTTTTGAAACTGGGCTATTTTTGAACGACCACCTGTAAATCTGGCTATTTTTGAATTTCTCCCCGAGGTGGCAGATTCATGAGCCAAACATTGAAAAACAGAGAACGACTGAAAGTTGAGATGATCATTTCTATCTCCTCCTGGGACACACTACATGAACTCCGCTGCTAAGTGTTAGGAGAATTAAAATATTGAAAAAAAAGAATATTTGAAGTTGATAGTAATAATGCGTAGCTGGAAAATATCATTCCAAGTGGAAAAGAAGTCTTTTTGTTGACAGAATATCCTAACAGACACCTTTACTTGCACCGATTTGACATGCTGGTTTTCGTACTTCATGTAGTTTCATCCAGATATTTGAACCTATTTAAAACTAATTTTTAGACCCCTCTGACCGTTGATTGAGCTCATGGGCATTTGTTTTGCTGAGTTAGAATAATGAATCGTTACACGCTCTAAAAAAAGCGAGTGGATGTATTAATTTTGATTTAAAAGTATAAAAAATTATTAAAAAGTGTACCCAACCCAAGTAGATCTCTTCCCCTTCGGGTCTACCTGTCCTGAACCCCTTCTTTGTCCCCCGTTTTTCCCATTTTCTTCACCCCCGCCCTGCCCCCTATCCTCCTTATTAGGCTTTGTGGATATTCAACAAGAAAATTTAAAACTATAGTATTAGAAGGAGAAGAATTTTCTCGAATTTTCTTTTAAGGACAGCTAAATAAACAGATCTATTAATGGGTTATATTTCGAAACATATCAAGAAGCTATGAAAATGCAAAGTAATTTTTTCGGTGGTTTTTTCTACGACCGTGTCCTTGGCGTTCATGGTTTTCCAAAGGAGTGGTTGGTGAGAAGAATGTGGTGGAGTCCGCTAGTGGTCATTTTCCAGCGATGGTCTGGTTTTTCTTTGGGGTAGTCGGTGGTGAGATACTTCTAACGATGTAGTTCCCTGTTCCGATGGATGGGGATTATGAGCCACTTACTACGTATTTTCCCGATGAAGAATTATTGTTTGCTGGAGACGATATTGCATAATCGTACCCTGGATGGAGAATATTTTTCGATGGAGCAGCAAACTTCAAAGGAGCCGAAATTGGGGCAGTCCTGATTTCGGAATCAAGAGCACTATCCAGCATCGCCAAAGATAAGATTCCCTTGTACCAATAATATAGCTGAATACGAAGCGTGCATCCTTAGGATCAGAATGGCAGTCGACAAGAACGTCAAAGAACTTTTGGTCATAGGAGATTCCGATCTATTCATACACCAAGTCCAAGGGGAATGGTCCACCAAGAATGTCAAGATACTTTCGTACCCGCACTGCGTGACGGAGCTATGCTGGAAGTTCACGAAGATTGAGTTCAAGAACGTCCCCAGGATTCAAAAACAAGTTCGCTGACGCCTTTGCAACCCTATCATCTATGATTCAGCATCCATACAAGAACTACATCGACCCCATCGAGGTCGAGATCAGGGATCAACATGCCTATTGCTTCCACGTAGATGAAGAACAAGATAGTAAACCATGGTATCATGACATCAGGAAATTCCTTGCAACCAGAGAATACCCGGAGAATGCTACTAATGATCAAAAGCGAGCCCTCGGGAGGCTAGGAAACTACTTTCCTTAACGGGGAAGTCCTGTACTGGAAGACCCCAGATTTAGGTTTGCTGAGATGTGTAGACGCTGGCGAGGCAACCAGGTTATTGGAAGAAATACATGCAGGAACGTGTGGACCCCACATAAATTGGGTTCACATTAGCTAAGAAGATCTTGAGAGCTGGATACTTTTGGATGACTATGGAAAGCGACAATATCCGCTACGTACAGAAGTGTCACCAATGCCAGATTCACGAGGATTTCATACGGGTTCCGCCAAATGAGTTAAACGTAATGGGTTCACCCTAGCCGTTTGGCGCTTGGGGAATGGACATGATTTGACCTATAGAGCATGCCGCATCAAACGGGCATGCTTCATCTTGGTAGCTATTGACTATTTCACTAAATGGGTCGAAGCATCTACTTACAAGCTCGTTACAAAGAAAGTAATGGCAGGTTTCGTCCAAACAACATCGTCTATAGATTTGGAATACCGGAGTCTGTCATCACTGCGAGAAGTTCAAAATCGTCCACCACAATTCCACAGCCTACAAACCACAAATGAATGGGCCAGTCGAGGCAGCCAACAAGAATATCAAGAGGATTCTACGAAAGATAGTGGACAATCATAGGCAATGGCACGAGAAACTATCTTTCACCTTACTAGGTTATCGTACCACCATGAGAACATCTACTGGGGCAACGCTGTACATGTTGGTATACGACACTGAAGCTGTATTACCCATAGGGGTTGAAATACCATCTTTAAGGGTCATTCAAGAGGAAAAATTGGACAACGCGGAGTGGATACAGATCAGAGAGGAGCAACTCATGTTCATCGACGAGAAGAGAATGGATGTAGTATGTCATGGTCAGCTATATCAGAACAGGATGGCCAGTGCATTTAACAAGAGAGTGAAGCCTCACCAGTTCACACCGAGGCAGTTGGTCTAGAGGAAAATCTTTCCCCACTAAGAGGAAGCCAAAGGAAAGTGTTACACCTCATGTTTTCATACGTGAAAGTACGCCATAAGTTAATTGATGAAAGCTTGGAAAGGAGATGATACAACCCGCATTTTCGTACATTAAAGTTTCGTCGTAACTTAATTGACATAAGTTCGGGAAGGAAATTATTTTGAGATTATAAGTATTATGTTCAAACAAGTGATAAGTAAATTCGTGAAGGTGAGAGGGTAAGTGAATCGAAGAAAATAAGTTTCGTCGAAGTTTGGAAATTTGGGATAAAATACGGTCCGAGCTATAATACCCGGTATTTATGGACTAGTGCTATACAAGGTAACACATGACCATGATAGTGAGGGATATAAGGTGTGTTAAAAATGAGTAGTATTTTAAGTAATTTGAAATAATTCTTAATTATATGGATAATTGGGTAATTATAGATTTTTAAGTGGGAGATTAACTTGTAATTGAATTTTGTGGATAATTATTTAAGTGAAGATTTGGATAATTGTTGGGGGGACAACAATCCACGTGGGATCATGGAGGTGTGGCAGCAAATTGCCAATAATATCTTGCCTAAGGAGGTGGTGTCATTACATACATCCATATCTCATTTTGGGTGGAAAAATGCTATTAAGGAGTCCTTTATTAGTTCACAAAGTAAGAAAGCCTTATGACTTTGTGAAATTAGAACAAGCATACGGATGAAACTTCAACAAAAGCCATACACAATATTATGATCAAATTCAAAGGGAAGATTCAGCAACTTATTCAAAATATTAGCAACGTGATTTTGCTACAAAGATCATACGAGACTACGTAATATTATAGCAGCGGAATTTTGCGATTCTAAGGGAGTACGGTGCAATCTTTCTCAAGAATATCATACGGATATTTTCTTACTTCAGGTATGTTAAGGTTATCCCTTCTTTCTTTTTGGCATGATCCAAATGATACAAACGAAACGAGCGAATGCATAAGTTCCATAAATGACTCTACTCATAGAAATGCTAGAGATTCTTATGTTCTTGATTCCCCATGTCCTATTATTCTATCATCTGTTCATGGGTCTCAGAAAATACGTAAGTTGATAAAGTTTATTTTATGATATTAATCAGAGGCATAATGGTCTTATGACAATTCTGAGAGATTTTATTGACGTACTTCTCATGCATTGCATTCATGTACATTGACCCATGACCAGATGGCGTTATATACGCGTATATATGTATATTATATGTATATGAGATATGGAAAAAAGTTACGGCGTTATATACGCACCACCACCTGATCAGCTGGTATACGTTGATGATTTTGCCCACAGTGGCCGAGATGATATGATGGGATGCCCTCAGAGGCCTGATGATGTTATGAAACATTTACCTATGCACGACATGACATTCATACGCATATGCATGATACTATAATTATTTCGTGATTTACAGAGTTATCCAGACTTACAGGTTGAGTCATTTACTCTATATTTCTTCCATGTCTATTATGTACTTATTTATGTGCCTTACATACTCGGTACATTATTCGTACTGATGTCCCTTTTTGCCTGGGGACGCTGCATTTCATGCCCGCAGGTTCCAATAGACAGGTCGAGAGTCCTCCAAGTAGGCCATCAGATCAGCGAAAGATGTTGGTATGCTCCATTTGCTCTGGAGTTGCTTGTTTGGTCAGTATGATTTAGGACATGTATTGATTGGTATGGCGGGGCTCAGTCCTGACCTTTATGATATTTATGTACTCTTAGAGGCTTGTAGACATATGTCATGTATATGGATACTTGTATGGCCTTGTGGGCCTATGTTTAGTTTATAAATGATTATGTTGGCCTTATAGGTCCGTATGTCACATGTATAAGTGTTTATATCAGGTTGGGTCGTCCTATATTGAGTATACCATTATGTTTATTCTGGTTAGCCCATGATTGCCCGTTTGGACCATTTGCCAATGAGAGTACGATAAGAAAGATATGTATGTTGGTACTCAGTTGAGTAAGGTACCGGGTGCCCGTTGCGGCCCATAGGTTTGGGTCGTGACAGAAGTGGTATCAGAACAATTCTGTCCTAGGGATTCTACAAGCCGTGTCTAGTAGAGTCTTTTTTATGGGTGTGTTGTGCACCACACTTATAGGCAGGAGGCTACAGGCCATTTAGGACTGTCACTCTTTCTTCTAACTCTAGATCGTGTGGTAGAGCTCAGTTGTAAGTACTCAATTTCCTAAACTCTATCTTATTCGTAATACGATGATGCCTACATCCAGAAAGACAGTTGGTAAGAGATATAGATGTAGAAGAGTTGAGTCAAAGGAACTCGATTTTTGCATCATGCTTATGATGGATAAATATGAGGTATTCAGCAGAACATGTGTGTACCAAGACGTGTAAGCTTCTTGATAAGGAGCCTTAAGGTAAGAATATCTATCCACCCATATGGTGAAAAGTAATGAGAGATTCAGAAGGTAGATACAAGTTTCAACAAGCAGAAGAAGCAAGGTGAAGAAGGGTACGAGGCACCTAGTTAATGAAGAGTATCAGTAATTATAATTCAAGCAGAGGAATATAAGCCTTTTGAGTTACCTTCAATGTATGTATAATTGGCCACACTCATCTCAGTTATACTCTATTGGGGGCTAACAGGTGTAGTTTAAGAAAAGGACGGGATATCAGGATCCGGCTGGGGTTGGAGTAACCCAAAAATGATGAATTGATTGTTTGCGTTAGTTGACATTTCCGAAGGATATTGAAAATGTGCTAATAGATCTCCTTGTGGGACACCCACATGTTGCACTCTAAAATAGTACAGCTGGATATGGGTACTATTAAGATAGACACTGGGATCCTTGAAGGGATAAATATTACCTTAGTGTCGCTCGCTTCCCTAGTAGAGCGAGAATGTTAAGCAACCCGAAGAGCCACTGGATGGAGCAAAGGGGAGCTAAAAGCAAAAGAATGTCTTGTTCGAGTTTTCAGAATAAAGTGATGGGCATAAATGTTAGCAGGGAAATAAGAAGAGAGATAATGAAGCATTATGAGTAAGATGTATACATGGATGACAACGATAGAAAAAAAATGACAGCATTACAGAATCTATAGTCAAGGGAAGGAAAAGATGAGAGGTGACATGCCTTGAGACAACAAAAGAGTATAGGCCATAAAGTCATATCCTCATTTTGAGAAATAAGTTCGTGACTTTAAGTGATTACGAGAAGGAAAACTTAGATCCCGGAGTAATTGAAATCAGTATGGACTGGCGAACAAGATAAACTAAACATGAATTAGGGACTAAGTGATTTGATAATAGTCGGCATCATGAGAATTTCAGAGATTGCATTCCGGCGATAATAGAATGGGCTATAGAAGAATAAACTTTAAAGGTTATTCAGGAAGACGCTTTCCTAAAGCAAGCAATGTGAGCAAAGTTAAACTTAAGGAATTATGTGTGCTAGTTACACTAAGTGTCACCCTCGTGAGTAAGGAATTTTGTTATCCTTGATACAGAAGGATTACCGCGAGGCGAGTAAGGGTCATCGATGATGTAAAAGACGCCAAAGATGAAGAGGTAAAATATCTATACTTAGATCATCGTAGCACTAAATCATAATACTCCCCTAAAGGGGGGAATGTGGCATTAAGTCAAAATTAAGTGGTTATAGTAGCTATGGAATGGTAGAGGAAGAATGCGATAAAAATGATGAAAAAGGGATGAGATTGCACTTATTCAAATCCTACAGATATTCTACGATTACAGAACATTATGCAAACACGACATCAAGGAAAGGAAGTAAGGGTTCCTGCCCAGGATGGTATTGATAAATAAGGAGCAAGTGCGAGAGGTAAGTTAAGACAAAGAAAATAACTCAAGAAAGGTTACGCGGAATATTGATATGAGAATGGGCCAACGAGTAGTTAGCAGCTGATTCAGGAAGAGCCTAGTTATGGCTAGACTGGAGGTTACTGACGAATCAGCAGATCATGCAAGATAAGCATAGCAAAACCCAATAAAGTGAATTCAGCTTCGCAGTAATGCCATTGTAATAATTGAGACATATAAGGTACCGTATGAATGTTACGGGAATAAAAGAGAGTGCCACTAGGAAGAAAGTCAAAATATTAGTTCAGAGGCAACCCTACAAGCACAAGGGCGTGTAGATAAGTAACTACGAATAATTATAGGCAAGGAAGGACATCAAAAGGTCCGTAATAAGCTCACAGCTTTACAAGAGTCAGAGGGTCCTCCCTAAATACTACAATGAAAGACTAGCTGAGAAAGTAAGGAAGAAGGCTTCAACCTAAGCTCAGTGACCTAAGGAGGGAATGGTCTTATAACAACAGTCTCACAACAACATTATATGCACTCCATAAGAAAATGGCACGTACCGTGGCTAATGAACAGGGAAGTAAAAATCAGAAGTAATATTCAAGATCATATGAGTTGTATGGAATTCCAATATGCGTGGGAACTAAGATAAGCTAAGTATGTGCACGAAAGGAGGGAAAAAGACCAGGAAAAATAAAAGCTTACATTTAAAGAAAGCTGAGAAGGAACAAAAGGAATTATTCGATCAATGATCCAGAGTTAGTTACGTTATGGACGCACTTAAGAGTTTGGAGTTTTATACATGCAGCATATACAGTCGTGGAAGATTCCAGTATAGGTTAAAAGAAAGAATTGAGCCCAGGTCATAAATTGAATTGTTGAAAGATTATATCATGGATATTCCATAGCGCCCATGAAAGGCTAAACATAATACCTAATACCATGAACCGCATATCAGGAGATAACTTAAGCCTACATAAAGGCTGATCAGAAGGAAGAGGAAACTAAAGAGTTACATCAACCAAATAAATCAGGAGTCTGATTATTGGACCCAGAAAATCAGAGAGATAGTACACAACCATATTCTATAACGGCCCTACGATAAAGCCAGTTAGAAAAGTACCAGCCTCATAAGAAGTCAGTACGAAGCTCCCACCGGATTG